CTACTAAAAGAGAACCCTGGGCCCGTGCCCTTTCCGGGAATATCGCGACGGGAGGTTTTCGCCCGTTCTCGGCCTCGGGAGGCCCTCGCCGGGCTTCGGGGCCGTCGAGCCACGACTCGGGATGAAAAGCCCGCCCCCGGGGAAAGGGTCGGGCCTTCCAGGGGCCTCCGCGCATGGACAAACATCAAGGGCTCCCTCGAGGGCGCGAAGTTATTCGCGCTTCGCGCTTCGCGGTCCTCGTTCCTTCTCCCCCTCCTCCTCGTCCTCCTCTTCTCCCCCTTGGGGGGCGGCGCGAGAGCGCGAAGTTATTCGCACTTCGCGCTTCGCGCAGCGCGAAGCGCGAAGTTGGGAGCCCTTGAAACATGAGGACGTCGCATGTCGGGGGTCCCCGCCCCCCTTCCCTTCGAGGAAGCGCACACGTGGGACCGCGGCGCGTGGACGATAGCGACGGGCCCCGCTTCCACACAGAATCGGCGCGCCCTCCGCCGCCATAGAGGCAGCGAAACCGTGGACCAGGGCGCGCGCGGACTATAGCGGCGGGCGCTGCCTCCGCCTCCACGCAGCATCGGCGCGCTTCGTCGCCACCTCGAGGCACTGCAACCGCGGACCAGGGCGTGCGGACCACAGCGACGGGCCCCGCCTGCGCCAAGGTCGGGTCTCGTGCTTCGGGGGGCAATCCTATCACTGCCCCCGACCCGTTGGTCTGGCGTTGGGCTCGGGGGCGGCCAAGGGGGGGGGTGATGACCAGGGGGGGGGGGATATCATGGCGGGGGCCATGATGTCTACGCAGATTTCGTGGTGCCTCTTCACAGTGCAAGTTCGTCCCCAGCGCCCTCCCGGGCCGTGCACGTGCCGCCGGCCACGATCTGCGCCCCGCCCCTCTTGGACGCACCCCTCTTGCACGTCCCCGAAGTGCGCAAGATCCACGGGTCCGCAGTCCAATGTCAGCGCGTGCCCGCTTCTCGCGCGCGCGCTGGCGCGGGCCCGAGGAGCGGCCGCGACGCCCGTCCGTAAGCCACGTTTGGTGGCTCGAGGCTCCACGATGACGCACGGGAGGGCGCCTCCGTCGTGCTGACCGCCTCGAGCGTTCTGTGCGAGGCGGCGCGGGAGCCTGGCCGTGCAGGCAGCCCCGGCGCTGCCCGCTCCCGCGGCAGGCATGCCTGCCGCGCGCGGTGAGGCCGGGCTGCTGCTCGAGAGCCGCAGGGTCGTCTCGGGGCTGGCCTCTCCGCTGCGCCGCGGCGGGGATAGGACAGGTGGCGTTCGGTAGCAAATCATGGGAGCCTTGTGCACCTCGTGCGTCCGTCTTTGGAGTGCACTGGCGTCGATCAGCGCCTGGTGATCGGTGGGGTGGCGCCGACCCGGCGTCGGCGAGCGTCGGCTTGGCGTCGGTCGGCGTCGGTTCGCGGGAGCAGCCCAGACGGTACGAGATGGCTCCCACGAGTTGCCACCGAAGGTGGCGCACCAGAGGCCCGGGGTCCCTGGCCCCCCCGAGGCTTGCAGCGGCTCGTCGGTCGTGGGCCGGCCGCCCTCGAGCTCGTGCTGTGCGCGGCGGCCTTCGGCCTGCTGCTCGGCGTGGCCGCACCCGGGGAGGGCCACCCGAGCGGCGCCGAGCTTGGCGCGGGCCAGCTCGGGCTCGGATGGGTGCTCTCTTGGCTTGGCATCGCTTGGACGCGTGCATCTGCTTGCTCGGCGAGTGCCATCGAGGAGCACGCTGCAGCATCGAGCAGAGAGAGAGCACGCACGGGACCGGACCGGACACTGGGAAGGGACGTCCGAGCGACGGCAAGTTGGCCTCCCAGATGGGTTCAGAGCAGATGGGGTCGGAGGATCGCGCCGCATCGGCGATGCATCGGCGGTGCGGCTCGATGTGGAGACCAGCTTTCTCCACGCCGACGTCGCCGATGCATCGTCGATAAATCGGCGGTGCGGTGCAATCCTCTGACCCCATCTGCTCGGACTTCATCTGGGATGCCTCTAGGTACGCTATCGGGCTTGGAGTTCGCGGCGCCTGTCGGATGACGTCGTGGAACCTGGCATTGGCTTGGACGCGGACGGCGATTCGCCCGAGGCGAACATGACCGATGTCAACGCCACGACTACAACGACGACAATGAACGCTATGACGATGCAAGGTGGCAGGGAGAATTCGAAGGCGGACGACGGGGCGACCCTGGAAGCGCTGTTCTTATATTGGGCGTGCTTGTCGCCATTTTACGTGGTTGTGTTCTTGATATTCCATCGCTTTTTCCCCTTGGTTATCACGTTCTACACGAACCCCAAGGCTGGCAGAATGCGGGTCCCATTTGATGTTCCTGAGACGATGTTCGGATGGGTGAAAGTGGCCGCAACCGTCTCGAACATGGATGGCCTGTGGAGAGTGATTGGGTTGGATGAGATGTTGATGCTCGAGTTTCCAGGTCTGTGCTTGAGAATCAGCCTCTACGTCGGTGCTCCGATGGTTCTCATCACGTGCCCGATCAACTATCGAAGACGCCTCCGG